GTAAAGTTTTGAAAATGTTTCTTTAAATGAGCAAATCTATGATAATGGTAAAATTTTTGTAAACTATAATATTGGAATGCAGGCAGTCTTATGTTTTCCATCTAGAAAAAATACTGACAAGTATATTTCAAGTGCTTAAAAAAAAAAAAAGAAAAAAGTGATACAGAACTAATGCGCAAAACTGAACCCCCCCTCCCCAAACTTTAGCACCTCAAAGAGCCTTAGGAAATGCCAAGGTCTGAATAACTCAAAAAATTCAACATTTTGAAGTTTTATTTGTGATAAACATTATGACAGATAAGAATAACTCTGAGGCCATTTTTACACTATTTATAATTAGTTATATCTACAAATGCCAGGCTGGTACATACAGATTTAAATAAGTGTTTCCCATTCATACTTTTTAAAAAGTAGGTTATCTTCTCAAAGGCAAGAAATTCACATATGCACAGAGAACATTCTGAGTCATCTGTATTAGGCACAATGTTAATGGTAAGGGCTCCAAGAATCACAAATTGCTAATTACCAAATTCAGTTATAAGGACTTTAAATACCCACCCCCAATGCCATTACTATTTTCATGAACCAACTATCCAAAAGGTGCAAACTCAACTCATGCTATTACTCTGCATTTTTGTAGGAAAAAACTTCTCTTTTAGATAGCAAAAATACTCAAAACTGGACAGTTCCCCTTAATCTCTTTATTTTCAGTCTTTCAAAACTAAAGTGTTTTTATCCCTACATCTCAACACTTAGTAGGAAAGACTTATATGAGTAATATTCAGTATATTTAGCCTATTTTTCCTATAAAGCCATTCAATAACAAGAAGTTATTCTCCTTTACATCTCAGATTATGTTTCTGTAGTTCTGAGCTGATAGCATCCATACCTAAAAAGGGAGCTAACCTCTGAACTAGTTGTATGTAGCTTACATCTTTCTGTGCTAAGTTTGGCTTCATTTTTCTACCTTCCATCTCCCCCCCAAAATGAATATAACTATACTGTTTTTAATGGTTATAAAGGATTCTTTTTTTCTTCTACTTTGCAGTATTGAGGATAAAAACCATGTCCTCATTGTTTTCATGCATGCTAGCTTGCTGTACTGCTGCACTACAGCCCAATTCCAACTTGGATTCTTAAAGGCATAATTTATAGAACTATGAAATAACTGCAGTTACATATATAGTCATAAATAAAATATTAGGTTTAAAAATCCATAATACAAAGATCATTAAAAACACTTATTTGTCAAATCCACTAAGAAATTAGAAGTTAACTGCTGTCTAAATAACCACAAAATATTAAAAAAAAAAAAAAAAACAAACTTCTGGCTCAAATAAATGACATCTGAAGTGAGATGTTGCCTCCTCCAACAGACATCTCATTTGTTTGCCTAGAACCATTTATATTTCATTTAAACCAGCTGGTGTCTCTGTTTGCAGGCAAGCAATCAATGTCTAGTGAACAATCTATGTTCCTGTAAACTCTTCCCCATTCACAAGCTGTAGTTTCCATTTTTAATGGCAAGTTTCCAGCAAATACAATGAGTTCTCACAAAGGAATTTAACTCTTCATCCAACTCAATTCCTAAGACAAACTAGAGCAATGGTACCAAGCCATAAACAATGTGTATTAATGTGCCTAACAAACTGAGAAAGAAGTTGACACATCTACAGAAGGCTCTCTTCACCAGACCATTAATTCACTGCACAATTATGAAAACAATGTGTTGGATTTGACTGACAGTCTCTTGTAATGTTGCATAATATTTTGGTTTTATGAAAATAACTTCTTTCTTGAGAATGTCATGACAATCTTGGCTAAATGATAATAATATAGATGTTTCAAAAACCAATAGAAAAGGATAGAACACTTTGAATTTCTTTTCAACTAACTTGTCTAGTTCTAAATTTATTTAAATTACACTGAACTCAACAGAAGTGAAAGTTTTGGGAGGCATTCACTTCTGCAACCATATTTAATGCTTCTCTCCCCCTACCCATCTTCACTCATCATCCTCTTTTTCCTTTACACACTCAGGAGTATTATAAGCCTCACTGCTAACACCCTAAACCAGAGTACATAAACTTTTCCTGTAAAGGATCGGTCAACAAATTCAAAGCTCTAGGGCAAAATAATCTGTCACTACTCTATCCTGCCATTATCATCTACAATGAACAGAACTTGATAAAATAACGAGCAAAACCCACAGTGTTAATTAAGATAATAAAAGCTCTAAGTCTTGAGGATAAGAAAGCAAGCTTGACTTCCTTCAGCTCCACTATTCTTTTTTCCCAGTTATTAAATTTCAACAGTTTGAAAAATATTGACTTAAACAAAAACAGTCATTAAGTCAAACTTGGAATCACCTTCCTGGAATGACTAAAATAATAACTAGAATAATAACTAGGGTTTAAAGCAGATGTCCCAGTTCCTGATACTACTAATAACCCATATCATAACTTAAGCTTCACCCATGAGAAATAACTGGTATGGAAGTGTCCATAGGAGAATGATGATAAACTGTATACTATATATGTGTTCTCTAGTTCTAAATTTATTTAAATTACACTGAACTCAACTGAAGTGAAAAGAAAACAATTTAGCAATCTGTCAATCTGAATTTAGTAAGCCTTGTCTACTTCAATCCTAGTTCTACTTATTTCAGCTAAAGATGGGCATTCACTCATATAAAGTTGTTTTTTTAGGAATCACCACTGTTAAAATAAAAGTCGGGTGCTTGGAAAAAAATTATTTTCAAGTTTGGAAACAGGAAAACTGGGAAAGCTCTGGGACACCTGAATAATACTACAGTTCCCATTATGACATTATTACAAAACAAGACAGAAGCATACCCCAAACTGGTCATAAAAGACACCTTTTTTCAGTGTCGTAAATTACAGTAAAAAATTAACATTTAGCAAATCAGAACTTCAGCAAATTTAACTTTTTCTCCAGTCAACATTTTAAGTTAATATTCCAATTAGCTGAAATAGCTAAATAATTTTTAGCAAACTCAATAAAAATCAATTAGGATGTGATTTTAGGCTCCAGGGTATGAACAAACTTCCAACATTGATGTCAAAAAACACCTTGAAAATTAAAATATAAGAACATTTCAGAAACTGAATGTGAATTTGAATCAGCTGGCTTTAACAATAGCAATTATTCTGATTTTTACTATTGCAGCTCATTTGAAATTTGAGATAATGAGGAGCCCAATGTATTAATCAATGCTACAAATATATCACTGAAACGACTAATTTGCAAAAGGATCACAATTCTAAGTTCCCATTAAAGTGAGGGAACATGTTATATAGCTCCCTGGTGTTTATACGCTGGACTAAACAGCATTTAGTTATTTTTTAACTCACAAACCTAAGACTGTATTAATCCACAACCTCCAGTTAAATTTATTGCTGGTTTATTCCAGCTACTTTGAAATGGCTTTATTAGTAGTTAAGTATAGATCCCATGATGTTTCAGTTTTCAAAGATATTTCACTAAAGACAATCAAAATGTCAACAAGGAACTCATTCTTGTCAATGGTGGTTCTCTTGTTTTTAAGTAATGCCTAACAATGCCTATGTGAATGCCTTCACATAAAAGACAGTTTAGGTATCCTCATTAAATAAAATTCTGTGAATTCCTTTTAAAACTGGCTACAACTCTTAAAGAGCATAAAGTCAGATCAAATATTTAATTGCAAAAATAGTAATCTAGGTATTTGAGGTTTCTCCATGGATTTGGGAAAGGGTATCTTAAAAAGTGACATTAAGAAAACCCACTTAGTAGAGTCAATTCTAAATACAAGTTGCAAAATATAGAGATAATATAATTTCCATCTTTTTTTTACACTTGATCTTAGCCAAAAGGCCGAGAAGCGATCCATCTTTTTTTTAAAGCTAATGATAACAAGACATTTAAAATCAAGCCAAGAAAAGGCTTTGTCTAAGGCTGATATTACCACAGGCTCACACACAAAACCTTTGAATGCTACACACAAAGGAAACGGATTTACACTTCAAGTCCACAAAAGCCTATCCTAGGACTGTGCCAGGGGCACACAAGAATTTAAAGTACAAAAAAAAAAAAAAAAAACCTGGTCATACACTTGCTGTAAAAAGCAGCCAAAGGCATTCCTCATAGTCACTTTCAGGAAATGTTTCAAGATGAAAAGCAAATAAGTCTGGAGTCCCTTGGAATCTTAGGTTTTTATTTTCATTTTTAAGGCTAAGTTATTTTCTTAACATACTTTTTGAGTAGAAATTAAGGCATTTCTAAGGAAAAGCAACTACTCAGCCTCAATTTTCAATATAATTTGTATTTCACTAAAAGTTCAAGATTTCCCAAGGTCTAGACCCAGTGTGATCACATTACAGTACTCGGGAAGAGCATTTTCTTTGTTGTTGACCCTGCTAGGGAAACAGGTCTTGACTCAGCCAAAGTGGCGTTCTTGTGGGTGATTAATGACAGGCCTAGATCTCGCCCCAGTGACATCCATCCCCACCCCCCACCCCCTCTATACTAAAATCAGCCATGTCTGAACTGGAGGAGGGGCTGCCGTCTCGCCTCAAACCACCCAGTCCCAGAGTTAATAGCTGCAACCAATTGATTCAGGCCAACAGACATCGAGATTCGGGTGAAATGTGACCTTTCTCTCGCCTGATTTATGAATAATATCGACCTCTCTGATAGTTTCCGCTGGGTCGCTACTTACTACGGAAACACTCAATTCCAGTGATTCTGCCCAAAGAAAAGGATCTTCCCCTTCTCCACAATACCGGCACGACACGGCCCCTACCCACTCAACCTCCCGACTACCCTCCCTTAACATCAGGCCATGTCTATTGTGCCTCCATACCTCTGGGGGCTAATTAAAAGAAACGTATGTGGTCGCCGGACTTAGTTAAGAACGAGGGCCACAGTCCAGCACCCACCCCACCCGCTTCATCATGCGCCCCCAAGCCCACCCTGGCAGCCACCCGGCCCAGTCCCACCTGTGGTGAGGCGGGAGGAGACATCGCCGAAGGGGGACGGCTCCATTCGGAGATACTTCTGCGGCGAGGCGGCCGCAGCCGAGAAGGAGGCGGCGGTGGCTGCAGCCGCCGACGACGGGGAAGCAGCGGCCGAGGTGGGCGCCGACAATGGCGTACATCGCCTCCGCTTCGGGGACGCCGGGCTCAGCAGCGGGTCGAAATCCAGAGTCCTTTTCAGAGTGGCTCCGCACGCCATGGCCGGAGGCAGCTGAGGCGCCCGGCTCGGGTGGGGTCGGGGAGGGGGAGGGCGAGGGAAGGGGGGAAGACCGGGGACTCTAAGAGAGCCTAGCCGACGGGATCGGGAGGAGCCAGGTGGGTGTTGGAGCGCCCGCCGAGTAAAGAGGTGCCGCCGCCGCCGCTGCCTCCGCGGCAGGGGCAGTGGCCAGGGCCGGTCCGGGCGAGAACGCGAGGGGCGGTGGCGGCACGCACGCCAGCCGCGTCAGGGGGGCTCTTCCGCCTCCTCAGGCACCGCTCCTCGGGAAGAGGCTCCGGCTGCCCCAGCCGTCCGTTCGAGCTTTGCGCCGCGCCAGAGGCGCTCCTGCGCCGAGACCGGCTCCCTTCGGAAGTAGATACCAACCCAGAGGGGTGTGAGGCTGGAACGCGGTTTCCAGTAGACCCTAGTACGTTCAGAAGCTTCCGAAGGGCGGCCGATGGGGAGGGATTACGAGGTGGCTGCGGCAGCAGGAGCTCAAACGAACACGTCCAACCGCTTCCCCCTCCACTGTACGACTCTTCCAACCGCCGCCGGCCCCAATATGGCGTCAATAACAACGCCGCCGATTCAAATCCTGCGGCCTCAGAGCGCCTGCGCATAGAGGCGGGCCCACTCGAGGATGCATTCTGGGAGTTGTGGTTTTACTCTGTGGGGAGGAATCGGCGTGAAAGATGGTAAGGGAGGAGTCACAGAAACTACGACTCCCGTCGGGCAAGGAGAGTGATTCCGAGTTCCGGGTTGGAATTTAAATCCCCTACACAGCCAAAGAGTAAAAGGAACTGAGCTAAAGAGAAAAAAGAAAAGGCTCTGAGACGGCGAGAGGGAAAGGGAAGCTAACCAGTAGGAAATCTAGTTAAGCCACTAAAGATACCTGTAAGACTCCGGGCATAGTTGCTCCCACAGTGATTTAACAAGGGAGACATAGAAAACAGCCAGCCTAGTAGTTCAAGAGAGATTACTTTCAGTATCAAAAGTGCCCAAAACAAAACTTGTCACATCGAAGGGACAGAATATGATGCAGGTTATAACATCTATTTGAAATTATGAGACAGAACAAATTAGTGTCAAATTACATTATCCTTGACTGAACTCTGTGCTTTGCCCTTCTCAGGTAGCTGCTTGCTGACACATTTAATTCTGCAAAGCCAGCTTTGTTTCTGTAAATGAATAGGATTTGAACAAAATACAGAGCCAAATTATTTCCTCTGGGTAAAAAGCAAGGGATACCCGTAAATGCATTAACTCTGTTAAATTTGGTGTATATCTTGTGCACAGTAAATAATATATATCCGAATACATAAGGATATGCCTAGGTAATTGATATTGGACCCATTGTGTAAGCAGAGGGGGAAAATATTTCTTAAAATTGTATTTTTAATCAAGTACCTAAACTAAGAATTGAGTTCAGCATTAATTTAAAAAGTGGTTTATGTAGAAACTGTATTGACCTCTACCATGGTCTCTGTCAGCAGTCTATAAGAAACTATGTGAATGCCATATTATCAAATGATTATAAATAACAAATACTGACTTCCAATGCTCATTTACTCTTGTCCTTTGTTCAATAATCAACAGATGTTTTGTAGCCATTTTGTACACTTTGTAACCAGTTTTGAACAGTAATTGAATATATTCTCGATTTATAGAATTGTCCAATAAATACCTCAGCCATGAGAAGTTTTGATCACACTGTGTCAACAACTAAGCCACGATAATTTTAATTTAGGATATAATACTGTTTGAAAAAAATGTCTTTACAAAGACCAGCATTTAATGAAATAATAACTAAGACATCTATTAAGTAAACTTTTACTAAACACTCATAAAACCCATGATACTGTGAAATTAATAGAATATACATATTTTAAAGATGAGTAGAAAATATTTGTTTATCTAAGTATTTTCTGAAATTAGGATTTGACTTTACATGATAGAATTTACATTAGAAAAGCCAAGTGTAGTGGCACAGACCTGTAATTTCAGCAACTCCAGAGGCTGAGACAGGAGGATCAGAAGTTTGAGGTCATCCTGAGCAACATAGTGAGACACACAACACTGTGTCTCAATATAAAATAATTAAATGAATGAGGGATGTAGCTCAATGGTAAATTGAGTTCAATCCCCAGTATCAAAAAAAAAAAATTAGATTGGGGGTGGGTGTTATAAGTTGAACTGTGTTGAATGTAACTTTGGAAACAGGATTATTTCAAAAGTAGTTACTTAAGGTGAGGTCATACTGGAGTTGAATGGATCCTTAGTCCATATGACTGTTATCCTTTTAAATGTGGACAAAGGGGAAATGTGGAAAAAGACAGGCAGAATGCCATATGAACATGAAGGCAGAGATCAGAGTGATACATTTACAACCAAAAGCCAAAGACTGTCAGCAAGCCATTAGAAGCCAAGAGAGAGACATGGAATGGATTCTTCCTCACAGCCCTCAGGAAGAACCGACCCTGATGATACCTTGGTCTTAGAATTCTATTCTCCAGAACTGGGAGCCAGTAAATTTCTGTAGTTTAACTCAACCAGTTTGTAGTTCTTTGTTTTGGTAGCTGTGGAAGCTAATTTAGGGGGACTGTGATTATCATTTGAAATATACTAGACTGCCTAGGAAATGAGGAAAAAGTGCATTTAATGCTGGTGGGGATATCTGGAAAACTTGACAGTTTAGTCATAATAGCTGCTTGTGGGGTCACTACTGCACAGCAGATCTGCAAAAGGCTGTCAAGATTTAACACTGACAGGGCTGGGGCACCTCTCCTTCTACCTAGAACTATACAGGCTACTTCACAAAATAAGAATACAAGGTGGACCCTTCCCTGACTTCTTTCTCTTTGCTCAGACTATGTGTTCCACACTTACTACCTGACTGCTTTACATCCAGCCTAGGCATTAACTCCTCCAGAGTTGGTTTTTAGATTCATAAAGACACACTTATCTCAATATCTTCATTATTATCCTCACCACATTGCCAAATTATTCTCTGTTGATGGATCTGCCTCTCCCACCACTGTTTGCTCCTACCAATAGCATAAAACTTTGCAAACTTCAATAAATATCCACTAAATATTTCTTTAGCATTTTTGGGGGGCTACATCTTCCTCTTAATAGCTAGCCCCCATTATCCTTATCATTTAAGGTAGGTATCTACTATATCAGGCCTGGTGGTATATGCCTGTAATACCAGTGAGGTGGGAGGCTGAGGCAGGAGGATTACAAATTTGAGACCAGCCTGGGCAACTTAGCTAGACCCTTCTCAATATTAAAAAAAAAAAAAAGAATAGGGGATATAGCAGAATTGGGGATGCAGCTCAGTGCTAGAGCACCCTGGGTTTAATCCCCAGTACCAAAAATATTTGTGTGTATGTGTGTGTTTGTGTGTGTGTGTGTGTCTACTAAAACATTATAGCAACGCTTTTAGGGGTACAAGAAAGCTGTTAGAGGGTAAATAAAACCTACAAATATATTTCTTAGGTTAAAATTGAAAATAAAAATAATATTTGAAAACTAGGTTTTAACAACTTATGAGTGGATTTTTATTTGTGGATGAAGGGGAAAAAGAAAACTACATTTCACACATTAGTAAATTGAATCAGGTCACAGGAATCTAAATATATAGTGCAGCTATTGGTGACCTACACAGATCAGAATTGCTCTTGTTGTAAGTAAAAGGAAAGTTTTAAAGACTTGAAATATTTAGAAGGGTTTTGCCACCATCGGGTATTTTTCTGATTCATACACTATCAAAAGTCTCCAAAGAAAATCAAACTGTTTTACCTAGACACTGATCTTTGCTTGGTATTAGACTTTTCTTAAATCTCCCAAGATATTCCCCAGTATCTGATTCTGATTAATTCTTCTTTGACTAAAGCCTATAAAAGTAAACATAGCTGAGTAGCACCAAGTATTATCATCCTAAGCCTAAAGATCCTCTTCCCACCATAAATCATTTTTAAACAATTTTTATGATGACAAGGATTAACGAAATACATAAGATACAGAGAGGTGTTTGCTGACTTTTCATGCTGAGTTTGAGTAATTATAGGTTCAGTAATAGGAACAGCAATCTAATTCAGGAACCACTTAAAATCTATATTCAAAACAAGATTGCCTAGGACAGAAAATTTTGTTTAATGATTGTGTAAATGAGTGCAGTTAGAGAAGAATAGACATTGTAATTCCTTCTACATATGATTTGCCGTCTGGCCTAAATTTCTTCTAAGCATCATATTTGGAATATACAGAATTTTATGTTATAGATGTGATGCTGGTTAATTTTTATTTTCATCATTTTGGATGTATTCATTATTTTGAGTTGATTGTTAGATCATAGAGTAATCAGAACTGTATACAGATGTTCCTTGATTTACGGTGGGACTACATCATAATAAACTCACCATAAGGTAAAAATATATTAAGTAGAACATGTATTTAATACATTCTAACCTACCTAACATCATAGCTCGCCATACAGTACACTGTAGAGTATCATTTGTTTTCCCTCCTGATGTGTGGCTGGCTAGTATTCTATTGCATATCACTAGTTGGGGGGAAAATCAACAATCAAAATTCAGAGAACAATTTGTACTGAATGCATATAATTTTTACACCACCTTTTTAAAGTTTAAAACTTGTGACTTGAACCATCATAAGTCAAAGACCATCTGTGTTCTGCTAGTGATTTCAAGAGGTCACCTTGTTTGTGCAGTCCCGAGACTCAAGGCAAGATTACCTATGATCAAGCTGGATCAGAATCTGCCTCGTTCTTTCTAAAAATTTTCAGGAACAACATCTAGAATCCTATGCAAGGGTAAAAAACATAAGTGAAAATTCTCCTGTATAGTTTTAATCTCTTCCCCATCAGAGACTGATTTCTCCTTATATAAGAGAACAATGCACTCCAGCAAATAAGCTGAGATTCACTTAACCTAGGGAACTTTGAAAGAAGCCACTGATTAGTCTCTGGACACACCAAGATTTTTAAGAAGTTCTTGCTTTAAAATTTGCGTACTTAAGTGTGTACCCTCAAGTACCCGAAGTCTTGCTCAGAAACTACTCTTTACAGAAAATCAGTAGTGTTTAAGGATCTTATTTCCCAGCCCAAATCCATTAGAAGTATCAAATAGAAGGAAAAGGAAACAGGAATTGAAAACACACTAGCTTCAACAAGCAATACAATTTTGGGATACCAAGGAAAGTGACTAAAAAATAACTACAGAATTCCAGAAGCACAACAGCCTTGAGACATCTGTCAGGACAAATATTGCTACTATATCTCAAATGCAACTCAATTATCACTGTTTAATAATGGTAAGGTTGCCAGATTTAACAAATAAAAATAAGATGCCCAGTTAAATTTGAATTTCAGATAAACAAGGAATAATTTGATAGTATAGTATGTCACAAATACTGTGTTTAGCTGAAATTCAAAGTTTACTCAGTGTCTTGCATTTTATCTGTCAATTTCAAATAAGGAACACAAGATGGTGACCCCAAGTTATCAAGAAAAGTACAGACTAGGTTTGGAGTGCAGCACATCAAGTATCTAACAAA